TGAAATCTCCACCTCGAAGTTCCCTGCCTGGAAGAACAATTGGTCCTTAGCAACTCCAGGCCCACAGTGAGCAGCAGGAGTGGGCAACGAGACTAGGCAGTGAGGTCAGGGAGAGGCTGGGGCCATTTCAGAGTCTGCACCCCCTGCTTTGGGCCCTGGTGACCACCTAGTGCTCCAGCAGAACTGCCCAGCCATCCTCCCTGCTATGGAGGCAGCCTGCATGCCCAAGGTGCCCACCTGCCAGAGCAACAGAGAGCAGGCGCCTCAGCCTACCAGGTCGGGCTCCAGGAGTGCACCACCATACCTGCCAGCTGTCCCCTTGCTCAGAACCTTCAGCAGGCTTCACCCATCTGGGCTCAGTGTCCTCCTTTGTCGAATGGGAGCCCATGCTCCCTCTCCTGGCCCATCTCCCAGGCTCAGGAGGGGAAGCCTCTCCCACATCCTTGGTAGGGGGATAAGCTTTCTACGACCAGGTGAGGACCCCAAGGCCCAGGATGACCGGAAGGAGCCTATCATCTAAAGGAGGACCAGGGGCCAAGTCCCCACCTCCCAGCCTAGGTCAAGAGGGCATCGGCTCCAACCCCCACCTCAGTCCTCAGAGGCCTGTGCCCTGGACTCCGAGGGTCTCAAGGCCAGGTCGACATGGGTGGCTCCTGCTTTGTATAAGGAGGTATGCTGTTTGAGGACTTGGGGGGTGGGATGGGAACATGAGAAGAGATATAAGACTTCCTGGAAGAAGTGGCATTTGAACTGGGTTTCAAAATAGATTCAAGGTCCTGGGCCCGGGGGTGGGGTGGGTGCTGTTGCAGGGTTGAAATCTCTGTTTTCTTTTTAATGTCTTTAGTGAGATATAGTTCACATACCATAAAATTCACCCATTTAAAGTGTACGATTCAATGGTTTTCTGTATATAGCAGATGAAATTTCTCCACCCCCACCATGTCCGGATCCCACTATACTCATAGTTGTCCCCAAGCTACCCTGGTGGGCTCAGACCTAAGTGCCCTGTTTCTTGTCACCCTCCCTCCAGCCCCCATCCAGCCTGAGGGTCACCTGCCGGGAAGACTGTCATGAGACACACCACCAGGGAGTTCTGCTCAGGCAGGTCCCCTTATAGCCCTCAGGCCACCTTCCATGAGCCTTCCACACCCTTCTTGACCCCTCTGAGGACAACCCTGGAGGGCTGCTTCTGGGTGGGTCCTCCATGGGGGGAGGGAGAGCCTCCCCCAAGGCCACTTGAGGCCTGAAGCAGGCTGTTTTTGCCCAGATGAGTTTCTTCCTAATCTGAAGTGGGAAGGCCCGCTAGGAACCCACCCTCAGGGCACAGCCTGGCCGTCCCCCTTCCTTTCTACTGCAGGAATCCTGGCCCCAGTCCTAGACAGGCCCCTTAAGTTGTTTGAGGGTCCAGTCATCCAGTGAGGGGAGCGGAGGCATTGCATCGGCGGCAGTTCAGTGGTAGAATTCTCCTCTTCCATGTGGGAGACCCTGGTTCGATTCTGGCCAATGTACCTCAAGTTCAGGCACCACCTATCTGTCAGTGGAGGCTTGTGTGTTGCTAAGATGTTGAACAGGTTTCATGGGAGCTTCCAGACTAAGACAGACTAGGAAGAAAGTCCTGGAAATCTATTTCCAAAAATTGTTGTTATTGTTATTAGGTGCCTTGGAGTTGGTTCCAACTCATAGCGACCCCGTATACAACAGAACGAAACACTGCCAAGTCCTGCGCCATCTTCACAATCATTGTTATGCTTGAGCCCATTGTTGCAGCTACTGTGTCAGTCCATCTTGTTGAGGGTCTTCCTCTTTTTCAATGACCTTCTACTTTACCAGCATGATGTCCTTCTCCAGGGACTAATACCTCCTGATAACATGTCCAAAGTGTGTGAGATGAAGTTTTGCCATCCTCGCTTCTAAGGAGCATTCTGGCTGTACTTCTTCCAAGACAGATTTGTTCATTCTTTTGGCAGTCCATGGTATATTCAACATTGTTTGCCTACACCATAATTCAAAGGCATCAATTCTTCTTTGTTCTTCCTTATTCATTGTCCAGCTTTCGAATGCATATGAGGTGATCAAAACACCATGGCCTGAGTCAGGGGCACCTTAGTCTTCAAGGTGACATCTTTGCCTTTCAACACTTTAAAGAGGTCTTTTGCAGCAGATTTGCCCAATGCAATGTGTCATTTGATTTCTTGACTGCTGCTTCCATGGGCATTGATTGTGG